GACACACTGCCTCTTCACACAACCCAACAGGAGGACAACAACAAATTAAAAAACAAAAAGCAACCAGAACTGCCAGAAAATCGAACTGTATGGAAGTCCTACAACCAAGGAGTTAAAGAAGAAACATTCATCCAGAGGGGTAGGCAGGGCAGAGACCAGCAGTCAGGAGGAGGGGACTCAAAAGCAAGGCGACTGCTGGCAGATAGGGTGAGGCAGTGGCTGGTGGGCTGGGCAGTCGCACATTTGCATGAGGATAAACTGGGAGGAACAACTGGGGAGCAAGACAGACCACACAACCTTGGGTCCCAGTGCAGGGAAATAAAGCTTCAAACCTCTGACTGAAAACACCTGTGGGGGTTGAGGCGGCAGTGGGAGAAACTCCCAGCCTCACAGGAGAGTTCGATGGAGAGACCCACGGGGAGAATGTACACAAGCACACTCACCCAGGAATCAGCACCAGAAAGACCCAATTTGATTTTGGGTATTGGAGGAAGTGACTGAAATCTGGCAGAGAGCAAAGCAAACGTCATTGTTCCCTCTCTGACTCCTCCCCCACAGACAGCATCACAATGTAGCCACCTGGGTTGCCCCACCCTGGTGAACACCTCAGGCTCTGCCACTTACTATTAACAGGTGCACTGAGACCACACACAAACGCACACAAAAGATCCAAATGAAAGAACAAATTAACAGATTAAAGCTCCAGAAAAAAAAATACAGTTAAGCCATGAAGAGATAGCCAACCTATCAGATGCACAGTTTAAAACACTGGTAATCAGGATGCTCCAGGAACTCGCTGGGTACTTCAACAGCATAAAAAAGACCCAGGCAGCGATGAAGGTTGCATTATGTTAAATAAAGAAAAATCTACAGGGAACCAACAATGACAGGAAGGAAACCAGGATTCAAATCAATGGTTTGGAGCAGAAGGAAGAAAGACACATTCAACCAGAACAGAATGAAGAAACAAGAATTCAAATAAATGAGGAGAGGCTTAGGAACCTCCAGGACATTTTCAAATGGTCCAACATCTAAATCACAGGGGTGCCAGAAGGAGAAGAGGAAGAACAAGAAATTGAAAACTTATTTGAACAAATAATGAAGGAGAACTTCCCTAATCTGGCAAAGAAAATAGACTTCCAGGAAGTCCAAGAGTCTTAGAGAGTCCCAAAGAAGTTGGACCCAAGGAGGAGCACACCAAGGCACATCATAATTACATTACCCAAGATGAAAAATAAGAAGAGAATCTTAAAAGCAGCAAGAGAAAAAGAGAGAGTTATCTACAGAGGAGTTCCCATTAAACTATCAGCTGATTTCTCAAAAGAAACCTTACAGGCAAGAAGGGACTAGAAAGGAGTACTCAAAGTCATGAAAGGCAAGGATCTACATCCAAGATTGCTCTACTTAGCAGAGCTTAGAATGGACAGGCAGATAGAGTGCTTCTCAGATAAGGTCAAGTTAAAGGAGTTCATCATCACCAAGCCCTTATTATGTGAAATATGGAAGGGACTTATCTAAGAAAAAGATAAAAAATATGAACAGTAAAATGACAACAAACTCACAGCTATTAACAACCAAACCTGAAAACAAAACAAAACAAAAAAACACAAGCAAACTAAGCAAACAACTAGAACAGGAACAGAACTATAGAAATGGAGATCACATGGAGGGTTATCAGTGGGGAAGTGGGAGGGGGAGAGAGGGAGAAAAGGTACAGAGAACAAGTAGCGTAGATGGTAGGTAGAAAATAGACAGGGGGAGGGTAAGAATAGTATAGGAAATGTAGAAGCCAAAGAACTTATGTGTATGACCCATGGACATGAACTAAAGGGGAGGAATGCAGGTGGGATGGGGTATGCAGGGTGGAGGGGAATAAAGTGGGGACAACTGCAATAGCATAATCAATAAAATATGTTAATAAATAAATAAATAAATAAATGAAAATATTATAGTATATGACATTTCTTAAACTAAGAAGACAGAAAAGTAAAAATAATATACATACATTGACTTCCACTTCTTTTTTATGAATTAAAACAAGTAGAGTTATTAAGGTGTATTGTATCCTGTTTTCCACCCTAAATTTCACATTTGCTGGTGGTTACGTGAGTAATGAGATACCCTGAAGGGAGAAGGCACCAAAGAAGAGGGGTGTAAGGGCTAAGAGACCAGTCCCTGCCATTCTCTCATACCCAGCATGCTGTTTTATCTGGACATTCCCTGAAAAGAGTGGTCAGCCATGTCCAATGTTACCATGAAGAGCAAGGAAGATAAATGCTGAAGGGTTTTTTTTCTTTTTAGCTTGAGGCAGTTAGAAGCCACAGATGACCCTGTGAAATCAAGTTCCATAGAGAGCTGAGGACATAATTCAGCTGTCTGCTGGGGGAGCATTTAAGGGGAGGCAAGGAAGTGGGAGATGGTGAAGGTGAGCTCATCAAGAAGCTCAGCAGCCATTGCCAGAAGGTGAGCTCCCCAGGCCCTCACCAGGGAGCCTTCTAGACTGTACAGTGCACAACCAACTTCAGCAGAGAGCTAGAACCCAAATGTTTCATTCTTTGCAACACCTAATACAGAACATACCTGACACTTAATGCATGAACTTAAACTTTCTTGAATATATAAAAGAAAAAAATCTATACAAAAGAAGAAAATTTTTTACAGAGAGTCTAGTGATGAAAATGAAAAGAAAATTGTATCTATATTTTGGAATATAAATATGCATAAAACAAAACAAAACAAAATATTTTATTTTGAATATATTCAAAATATATTTTGAAGATCATACCAAGAATTGATTCAACTTTATTTTGAGAATTAGGCAGAGTCAGAAAGAAACACAATAGTGATGATAATAATAACACAGCCTGTGGTGGCATAAATCTTGATGACTCATGAAGCCGTTTTCATATTTACCATCTATTTCCCTACGGAAAAGTGCAGCATGGGATATTTAGGAAAGAGTTGTAACCTAAAGCCATGAAAGGTGAGACTTGAAATTAGCATATAGGAAAAGTTCCCTAGAATAGAGTTCTAACGATCTTAAGTCATTACGTTGCATATTTGAAAAGAAAAACTGAATCAATGCACAGGAATAACGCTAGGATCAGATGGGATAAGAGAAGCATAGCCAGTGCACCTGTGAAATCACCCAGTTTCATCACAATTCCATGTCAGTCTGAGCTTCATACAGCTCCACGGAGCATTCTAGGCTCCCCATTGAAAAGCTGGGCCCGAGAGCAGAAATCCAAGGCAGAATTCAGAGAAGAGCTCTAAAGATTAGTAAAGACTAAAGAAAGAAGGTCTACTATGAAATATTCACAGAACTGGACTTTTCCTCATTGTTTCACAATTCATGGTGATTCACATAATGTAACAGCATGGGGGAAAGCTGTTCCAATAATTCCAATTCTAATTATCTTATAAAAGAAATGTGCAAACTTGGTGGCAAGATCTTGGTAACAGCAGCTCTTTATCCAATGATTTTTGGTTCACCTGGTTCAGCTTCTGTTGGGGAAGAGCTTTCTCACAAGATTTTGTGGAGGTTTGTGACTGACTTTTTGCAGGGAAGGTGGAATAAAAGAAAAAATATTCTTATTTAGACTAAATATGCAATGGAGGACTTAATTTAAACAGAAGTTGTCAGGGGGGTTGCAGAACCGACTTCTCTGGAGAGTTGTACAAACAGGCCCCACACTCATCTCTCTGGATGGTTTCCGCCTGCAGAGCAGCTAGAGCACAGCCACGGCCCACTCATGTTCCCTTCCGCCTCTTGAGTCTCCAGGCTACAGCTGTGTCTGAGCAGGCCTCCTGCGCAGGGCCCGTTGTTTCTAACTACAGTGTCTTCTTGCCCCTGGAATGATGAGTGTAGAAGGGAAGGTGGGGTCAGGATGCTCCCTGAGCTACACCCTGTTGGTATTACCCATCTACTAGCACCATCTGCTGAGAAGCACAGAGGATACCAGTTAGTATTAAATGATACTGCTCTGTCGGATTTTATTTGCCCCATTATATTGTGAGTTAGTGAGTGTGTGTGTGTGTGTGTGTGTGTGTGTGTGAAAATACTGTGAGTAAAACTAACTGGAAAGAAAATGTCGTTAAAAATCCAGAAAACATAAAGGGAAAAAAATCCTCCCTGTCCTTTTGAGGTTAGGTTCTAACGTCAAGCATTTGATTCTTACTTTTAGAGTCTAACACTTAGCATCTGAATTCGCTGAGGTCTGAGCCCTATCTAGGATTGTTTTTTGTTGTTAGCACATATGGATTTTTCCTCTTAGAAAATGAGCTATGCTCTAGCCCCCTAAAGCTACAGGGTAAGGGCTGACTTCTCACAAGAGCTGAAGAGACAGTAGAGCTGACGGGCACAGTCAGAGTGAGCTTTAAATACCATGTACCCCATCATTTGGTGGGTGGGTGTTGTCGCTAACTATGCCTCTACTTCAACAAAGAAAGTGGTGAGTTGCCAGAAACCAGGGATGTTGCATCTGAAGGATTATGCTGAATCCTTTCCAGAGAACGACTTTTTGTAAAAAGATAAATTTTATCCTAAAATATTTTCTAAATTTACTTCGGCACTCTATCCAAGGAAAATAGTTTAAGTATTGTGCCATGGGAACTACTATCCGTAGAATTAGAACAACTTCCCCTCAGCGAAGGTCTATCTTTATGCATCAGGTGGTGTCAGATGGCCTGTGTGGGGTGGGGAATCTGCCAAGGTCGCAGTTATGCAGGCTGGCCAAGGAGACACAGGGCAGGCATCCTAAGCCTAGCACATTTACAAACAGGTGGTGAAATTAAAATTTTGTTCTTTTTTAATTTTTTTTCTCTTGGCTCCCATAATTGCTGCTTTTCTTTAGGTAAAACAGCCTTTTTTCTTTTTTTTTGTCTTTCATCTCCCAAATGCTAATTTGATGCCCTTCCCTAGGAGTCTTCTCATTAGTTAAGTTGGCCTGAAGGTCATAAACCATAATCGATATGGTAGCTGCAAGGTGCTAATTGTCGTCCCCAGAGAGGGACAGTATCAACAATCAATGGGGAAGAGCAGAACACTAGTGGATTTGTGGCTCTGGTTTTGAAAAGGTGTGGGAATGCCCTGTGATGCTTTCCCCCGTACTCCTTTTGAATGTTAATGCTTTCTTGGGGATGATTTCAGACACACTGCTAGGATACTGCCTCTACTCGCTGAAGCAGAATCCTCTGAAGAGTTGCTGAGGCAGAACTGAAATCATCGTTCGCCTCAAAGAAGCAGCCGTGTTGGCCGCTAATGATGCCTCACACAGAAAGACGATGCTCCTTTAACTCAAGGGTTTTAACGGGAAGTTTCTAAGCCTGAAACAACAGCTTTAGATCTGGGGTGTGCCATCAGCTGCTCGCAGCCACCACTGTCTACTGCTTTCACACAGCCCGGTCGGTCAGGAGGAATGGAAACTGAAGAAGCTTATAACTACCTGTAACAGTTCCACCAGGAAATGGATCAAGTGTTTGTTCAGTCAGATCCAGGTACTTGACCAAAACTGTGTCTGTGACAGGCTAGTTAAATGTTTTTCTCTAACTTTACAATTTATGCATGAGCAATAATTGCATAGATGCCTTTTGGATCCAAGTTCTGAATGCAGAGCTAGCTGTCAGATAAAGTCTAATTAAACAGTTGCTAGGTGAAGTTAATGTGGGGGGAGGGAATGTAATGATGCTTTTGTTTTTAAAGCATGCGTAAATTTACAATGCTACTGACACTGGATTAAGGAGTAATAAAATAGGCTTTTTTCTTTGCTAAGCTGCAGTAAATTATTCATGAAAGCTATTTATCCATGACAATATTTTTTTTTCCTTCACCTCAAATATCCAAACTCCCAACATGTAAGAGGGATGTTTAAATTTGTTTACAAAGGATCGCAACTCAACAATTCAGAATGATAGTGGGGACTGGCCGTGGCGTCCCTGGGTGACGGGCAGTGTGCAGCCTTAGGCTTGGGAGGCATCCGCAAGCACTCTTTTCCACTGGGAAACAGAAGGAGAAGCAAAGGAAACTGGGTGGAGTCGTAATGTGCACTGCTTGAAGTCAAAAGGTCCAGTTTGCTAATGGTGTCTTTTGATACCCCCAGCGACTGACTTGAGACTAGGTGGTATTTTTCTGATGTTCTCAGCCATGCTGCAGCCTTGCCCTTCTGCCCCTTTAAAACTCTTTAAGCAGATGTTAGGAAGAAGGTGAAGATAGGGAAGAAGAAAAGCCGAGGTTAGGGCTCGGGCTGAAGAGAAAGGTCTCCTGCTGACCCAGAGCTGGCAAGTATGGGAATGCAGGGTCCACCCCAATCCCAGGCTGATGAGTCTGCAGGCTGACTTTGCGGAGGCAGAGAGCTGGAGGGACCAACCCCAGGTGCAGCACTGGGGGCTGGCAACAGTTCCAAAACTGCCTGTTGACATTTGTAGCTGACCACATTCACATGTCTTTAAAATCATTGTTTATGGGTTCTCTAGTAGCATTGGGTCTCTCGTCTGAGTGTATAAAATGATATTCACTCTTAGCTGTCCAGTGAATTCTGAAGCAGCAGGGCTATTGTATTGGAACAGGAGAGCTGTATTTGGAAAAGAAGAATATGGAAGTTGCGGTGTATTTATATGAGCCAAAAGAGGGGTTAAAATGCATGAAGTACCTGCAAGAGCCAGGAAATGGTTCCCTGAAGTTCTTGGCTGGCCACCAAGAGGGCCATGAATTGTTTGAATTTATAGGAAACATTTTGTATCTTTGTGTATATATCCTGGAAGGCAAGTTACTGTTCCCGGAGCTCATACACAGAATTTCTACAGGATTCAGAGGTATGCACACAATTCAGTTGCTTACATAGTGATTTGATTGCTTAGGGGATGAGGTGGCTTTTGTGGAGGGCTCCCAAAGGTAGGGGGGAATGTACAATAGGGTCAAGGTGGGGTGTTCACATGTCTGGGGGTTGTGGAGGGTGGGTGGGCCTCCAGATACTCCAGTTATGCAAACAGCAATGCAGTGGAGGCTTTCTTTAGCTCAGAAAGTAGAGAACAATTCTATTTCACCTCAGTTTCAGGATATGTATTATTTTAATCATTGAAAGCCACATTAACATTTCAACAGTCAGCTTCAGAACTGTGGCAGAATAATGCTGCACTTTGAGTCAGTTTGTCTCTGCCAGTTGTTGCAAATTCAGTCCTGCTTGCCTCATCAATTCCCTTCCTGTTGCAATCTACAGATCGGGCTCCCCAGTCTGCTGGATAAATAGAAATAAGGTACACAGGGTGTCTTTACAGGACGAAGTGTCCTGTCTGTCACATGCGCAAGTACTCTGGACAAGCCTGTGAGTGTTCTTTCTCAATGGACAAACTGTTTTTACACCTACTTTTGAAAACATGTCAACTCACATAACTAGGCTTCTGGCCTAGAACTTTTAGAAATTAGGTACAGCAATTATGTGGTTTCGGAGTACTTAAAATACAGACAGCATTGCTTAACTGCGCCCTGTTCACTGTTAGCAGCCGAGAGATGATGACTTGCTATTCACTCCAACATGCCAGAGAGAAACTTGCGATCCAGTATCTTTAGGGGGATGCTGCTTTCTTGGTAATAGATTTTTTTTTAACTTGGGGCAATTTACTTATAATCTCTATTGTTTTGTGTGCTGGTTTGCATAATGGAAATCAGAAGTAAATCTTACTTTGCATAAAAATGGTGTAAAGAGAATATACCCATTCACTATCCCCTACTTACTGACCACTCACTGCACACCAGGCAGGACTGCACGTGCACTGACTCGGCCACAGCTGTTACTGCGACGCGGGCAGGAGGCTGAGCACAAGAGCCGGTGCCCACCGACGTGAGGTGGCGGAGTGAAACGCCTGTGTGCGGGGCCGCGTGTGCTCAACGCAGCCTGCTTCTGTCGCTTCAGAAAGAAGAAGAGAAACGTGTCATTGCTTTAAGATGTATTTTCTTCCGATGAAATACTTTTCTTTACTGTGAAGTTGTATAATGAGATGCTAATGAAACGAAATGTCCAAAGGAAGGATCCAAACTTGAGAAGGGTAGATATTGACATTTATAGTCTCCATGTAAGACGTTTGGATTCGAGATATTTCCAATGGCTGCCTTTCCCAATCAAAAAATAAAAAATAAAAAGTGGATTAGGTAAGAAAGGGTTGACCCCCTTGAATAGAGGGACACTGCTTATCTCTAGTTGATTTTTATACTTCAGACCCACCAATCAGCACTGTGACCCGGGAAAACTTAAAGGACTGAATAACTGCCTTTTTCAGATCATGAGAGCTGTAACTGCTAAAGTGTCACCAAGACTCAGACTCTCTGCACGCCTTTGACCCGGGGTCTATTTCAAACACAATGGTCTGACATCCCAGTTCAGCTGGATGACATGCTTTTATTTTCCCCTCTGTCTGTACAGCTGGCACCCTGAAGTTTGAATTCAGTACCCTGGACTGTGAGGGGCTAGAGATTTGAGTGAACCCCTCTTGAAAGAGGCAATGATCATCGAACAGCAAGAAATGCCTCACAGAGTCTGTTGTTTAATGAGGGGAAGAAGATGAACCCCATGGAGACATAAGAAGGTGCTGCCACAGAAATGCAGGTAATGCGCTCTTGGAGAGAAAGCAGAAAACACCCAGTCCCTTTGGTGAGGGGGCAGATGTAGGCCCGCTGCAGAGGTGGTATCGGTGAGGACCTTGGAGGAAGAAGAAAGACCTACAGGCGGGTGGGAATAGGGCGAGGAGGAGGGCACCAGGACTCTGAGCTCACAGGTGGAAACCTGGGGTGTTCAAAGAACAGCAGGCATTGGGGGAAAACCGCAGAGCAGACCAGACCAGGTGAGGCTTTCTCCCCCAGCATCCTGGACTCTGTTACTGTCAGTTTGTTCTTATCAATACATTGATCATTTTACTCAAAACCAAACGTGATTTGATGTTTGTCTCTTTTTAAACTTATTGTAAAGATAAAGTAATATCTTAGAAAAATTCCATTGTCAGAATATGACGTAATTCGTGGTCCAGAAAACAGGTGCATCAGGTCTGCAAGGGGTTAAGGGGAGGGTTTGGGTTTTAGACATTGGAGGACACAAATTTTCTGAGGGAAGGAGGGGCAAGATCTGAGCTCAGAAAGATAAATCTTGACATGGCATGTAGGAAGTATGGGGAAAGAGAGAATGAGCCCCTTTGCAAATTACTCCTAAGTGAGTGTGACTGTGGCTAAGACGGACCACTCACGTGGAGCTGCATAAAATTCAGGGCGTGATTCTGATACTTAGTGAGTATCAGAGTCCCAGGAGCCTGACTTGAGAAAGGGGATGTATCATGTCATCGATGACATATTTTAAATATGACATATTGTAAATTGTTTAAATAAGGTTTCCTTTGCCCAGTGTTAAAATTAGGCTTTATTTCCTGAGTGCGCGTACACACAGACCCAGCAGAGGGTAGACGGGATGTGCCGGCTGTGGGGGGAGCCAGTCAGGATTCAGACGCTGCTGTGCCTGCCTCCTGCTCCCGAGGGAGATAACTGCCTTTTGTGCTTATTAACACTCAGGGCTGTGTCGAAGCCTTCTGAAATCATTTACCTGCCCGGATGTCACTATTCATGTGAAGGAAAAATTCATTATTTTGCTAAAAGCAACTGTGAACATTCTGAAGAAATATTTATACCAAAAGGGACATTTGACTTTAAGACAGACTTTTTTTTAATGCACATGTTTCTGAATATTTTTGTATTGTGGTTACATTTAGTTCTTTTTCTGCATCTTACTATACCTGATGCTTCCTTTAACTTAAACAAGCTGTTGAACTTTCCAAATTTGTAAATTATTGATGAGCTGATTGTGGGTTTAAAAAACAAACAAACAAACAAACAAACAAACAGACTCCCCTAAGGATTTCAATCAGACCTAGGCAAAACTGTGGCATAGTTGGCGTTTCTTTCTAGATCCCTGTGTCTCTAAGTCCCTTTATAACCACCTCCTGGTTTCCTCATCTCTGCCCACCATCCCCCATTACCCCCCAGGACTCTCGTGCTGCGCCACCTCTCACAGCACCTGTGTCTGTCTCCCCCTGTCCTCTCTTGCAGGCCCTCACTCCAGTAAGGTCTTCCTTCAACTTCCCCCCTTTTTAATCCTCACCCAAGGATATGTGTATTGATTTTACAGAGAGAGGAAGGAAGAGAGAGAGAACCTAGGCATGTGCCCTGACCAGGAATCAAATCCTCATCCTTTCATGTACAAGTTGAAGTTCTAACCACTGAGACACCTGGCCATGGCTTTTCTATTAACTACATTTCCCCTCCTTCAAGGAGGAACTGTTTTTACAGACAAATCCCTACTGTTACTATGTCACTTTCCTTGGTAAACTATTGCACTTTAACATCCTTTAATGATATGACCAAATGAGGTAATTTAAATAGGAACTTGGGCACCACAGTATGCTGGGAGGGAAGAGGCTTACAGTTTATAAAGAGCTATAGAGTTTTCAAAGCATGTAATCATGCTGCAAAGAGACCTAACCATGTTCTTGCATCTGCCTTTTAATCAGAACAGGGTGATAAAACTGAAAATTTTTAAATCATTCTAAACTGAATCAGATGACTAGGTTATTTGCTGGGGCTTCTTCAGATGGTTGCCCATCACTGAAGCCTTCAAATGAATGGTGTCCCAGCTCTAAAACCAGAGTTATTAGAATAGCCTAGCAAGTATGAGATGATGAGCTCGGAGAAAAGGAGTTGGCGTTTGGCTTTACAGAGGACAAGGCTGGGGAAGACTGTTCCTGGGTGTCAACACGCTTTTATCAGTGGAGACCAGGGGTGGGACTCGAGGGATGAACAAGGCCCTGCTATCCTCATCACCAAGCCTGTGGATGGGGAGGAATTATCACAGGCTCAAAATATCCTATAACCAGTTCTTTACTGTCTTCACTGAATTTCACAAACCTAGAAATCTTCATGTTGTTTCTCCTGTGTAACTTTAACTGTCTGTATTTCCTTTTTGGTTTGTATAGTGTTTCATAAGGAACTTTGTGAAAATGCAAACCTGTATTTTCAGATGTATTGAGAACAGACATAAAAAAGGACTCTGCCCTCATTTGGCATGGAGAGAAAATGGATTTGGATGGGACCTAGTAAGCCAGTAGGGAGTCAGGGATGCAAGTGTGGGCATCCTCAATAAACCATGAAAAGACAAGACAGAATATGGCAGGGACACCTTAGGCTTCTATTCTACCAATACCTGGCTTCCTTTTGACCTGGCTTCCTTTTGATCTGTCCCTTGGAGAATTTTCTATTTGGTAAGACTAAGTCCAGTCTGGGTATTTGGGGTGGGTACAGATGGCCCTCGTCAGAAGCATTCAGGAGAGCTATGTAGGAAGCTCTGGCCCCATTTCCTGCCCTCCCACCCCCACCAGTTTCAGTTACCTATGGAGAATGAACAAACACCCAAGCAAACCAACACCAAACCCAATCCATGAATGGCCTCTATAGTCCAAAGAAGCTTAGTTTTTAGAAAATACAAATTTCATCTCAATTTTATTTCAAAATAAAAATGAATCATAAGTGATTCCTTTGTAACTATGTCAGCCGTTTTTAAAAAATCAAAGAACTGTAAAATATTTCCCCCCAAAACTGATAACTCATTCCTCTCAGATACTGCTTGTCATTCCCTTCATAAACTGTCTTTAAAACTGTGAATTTAGCCCTGGCTGGTGTAGCTCAGTGGATTGAGCGTGGGCTGCGAACCAAAGTGTCGCAGGTTCGATTCCCAGTCAGGGTACATACCTGGGTTGCATGCCATGACCCCCAGCAACCGCACATTGATGTTTCTCTCCCTCTCTCTATCTCTCTCCCTTCCCTCTCTAAAAATAAATAAGTAAAAAAAAAACCAACAAAACAAAAACTGTGAATTTATGGACTTTGAAGTGTTGACATACATGCAAAGTGTTATGATTACTACTGCTGGACTTCAACGCAATGGTTATAAGTGAGCTGAGGAAGTGTTGCATTAATGCTTTAGATCATAATTTCTATTTTGATTTGATTGCTTGTTTTTACTGAGGGTATTTTTTTTGAATCCATGTTAATTGTCACACCTGACTACTCTGCTATGTAACTTTTCCAATAGACAGATTCATGAGTAAATGTGTCTCAGGGTTTTCTATACAGTAAACTGTAATATAGATACTCTTCTTTACAAAAGTTCATTTAAATAGATTTAGTTCAATATCTGAAGCTTCTAATAGTCTGTGTATATTTCAATTTGCCTTTAAAGCCAAAGAATAATATCCACAGTCCTTAATCTTTCTACCAGTAAAATTTCCTTCTCTTTCCACTAAATGGTCTTCAAGAGTAAGAAGCCACTGTGAGGCTTCTAAAAACTGCAGTCATGGGGACATCCGCAATAGTGTTGACAATAAAATAAAGGAAACAACACAGTCAATCAATTCCTCTGCCCTAGCTCAGTTCTCTAAGTACTTCCTTGGGTCAAGTATTGAAACTGGTCTTCGTTTTCTGCAGAAAAGAGAAAAAGCAGCAGGAGCCCGATGGTTTGGAAGTCCAAGACACCTCCTTTCTCTCATGGCTCAGGCAAGAGACAGCAAAGAAGCATCACAGCTCTCTTAGTCACGTCTTAAGTGAAGCAACACTTTGTTTTTCTTCTGTGTGTACTTTTCAAAGGTTTTTCACAGACATTCATCCACATGAGAGCAACATGAGATACACAGGCATTTCTGCTTCCATTTTCACAGTGTAGTGACCTTTCCAAGGTGTTGCACTCTTTTAGCATCACATGGAGACTAGAGCCCAGAACCCGATGCTCCCCGAGTTTCTATATTAAGCACATTTTCTAGCCTCCATCTCTTTGCACTGAAGCTATAGAGGTCCCTGCCTCCATGGAGCCTGTTGTAGGGTGGCTCACACATGTTGTGTTTAGCCACAGTCCTGGTGCATAGTTGGTGTTCCATCAATGGTGGCATTATAGGAATGATGTAAGAGTAATGTTATTGGAGGGAATCTAGAAGAGACTTGGCAGGGAGACTGGGTTTGGATGTCAAGTTGGCAAGCACACCTTGAGGTTGACATTACCTTGTACATTTCTCCTTTTCTGTACTCTGGTTACCTTCCCTGCCCATCCCTCCTGGCCTCAGGTGGCTGCTCGGAGGACAACCTGGTAATTTCATGCAAGAGTAAAATGTTATACACAGAATTAGGCATCTCTAGTGAACAAGTTTACAGATTCCTTCCTCTCTCTGAAAAACATGACTGTGAGCCTAGAAATAAAGTTGCTCTTTATTAGTCATTCCCCCTTTTTTTTTCTTTCTTCCTCCTGCAGATAACTTAGCCTCTCCAAGGTGCCAGCACCATGATCTCAGCAGACTGATGATGGAACAAAAAGAAACGGGGCGATCCCCTACTCTGTCTTCCTCAGACAATGGATGGAGGACAGCCGGTTCCTTCACCCCTGGTGCCCTTCGGGAACACGTTGTCAGAGTCTAGCATGTCCCTGGAGCAAAAGACCACGTTTGTTTTTGTGATTTTGTTATTTATCTTCCTGGGCATCCTCATTGTCAGGTGCTTCCGGATTCTTCTGGACCCCTATCGGAGCATGCCGACCTCGACCTGGGCTGATGGACTTGAGGGCCTGGAGAAAGGGCAGTTTGACCATGCTCTTGCTTAGCAGGGGGAGTGAGACCCCCTCCTGAGGAGGTGAAGTGTTTCATGTCTTGGCAAAGAATTCTCTTTCATCAGTGTTCTCAGCAAACTGAGTTTTAGCAGCATCTGTTCCTAAGACCACCATCCATGATTCAGTAAGCATGCTGTTGGGTTAAAACATTGAGAACATTGGAAATGGAGATTTATATTACTGACCAAAAATAGATAGGTTTAAATTTCTGTACACAGTCAATGAAGGAACACTGTCGAATGTGTGCAATGGAGAGACCATGAGCATCGATGCTGTTGTAAACTTTGCCGTAGGAGGAAGTGCTACCCAACCCAACCCGGGAATAAAGACCAGAAAGGATCTGGTCTGAATCTGGTGACAGGGCCAAGAGGATGCTTTCTTGCTTTAGTCCTGTCCCTCAGGCTGCTTTATTTTCATGGGAATCTGGGTCCCAGGCAGGGAGTGAGAAGACTATGTTCAGTGGACCAAAAGCAGGTACTTGTTTTCACCTAAAGCAAGGAGCATGGGGAGGCCCTGGCTTACAAGAGATGGTTCCATCCTGGGAAAATACAAGTGAGGATGATGTTTCATTTTTTAAATAAAACTGAAGTCAAAGGTTTATGGTGGTTTTAAAACTATTTGCCAGGGCAGGTACATTCTATGTATTCATATTAATAACATGTGTGGGTGTTGCTATACATAACCTGAATTTATTCTCTTTACACAAACAACTGAAATAATAGGTTACAAGTGCAACCTCAAGTTTATTTGTTTTTTTAAATAAAAAGTTAATTGTTTAGAGGAGGAGACTTTCACGGTCTCAAGAGAACTGTGTGTTTATGACTGGATATAGAAATCAAATAAAGCTTTTTAAGACACAGAAGTGTCTCCTCCTTTATTTCTCCGAGACTAAACGCACTGGAGGCAGTGTGTTATGCGGAGCGCTGGGGGTCTGGGTGCTCTGGGGAAGAGACGAAGAGCAAAGACCATGAAAGGCCACCTAACTCATCCCTCTCCCGCTTCAGGAAGGGCTCCTACAAATTGTCTCATATGCATAAAACCTATTCTAAGCACTATTTAATTCCACCAAAAAGAGAAACACGAAAACCTCTTATTCCAACTTCTATTGGGCAGAAAACGTTGTATCTAAACTAAAGCCCTCAGGCTGTATTTATAGCCTATGTCTTTCAATTTTCTCCTTAGCTAGCCATCATTTTTTATATTTATAAAAAGTTTAAAAGCCACTTCTGTGTAAAAAAGGCAGCCCTTAGTAAACACTGCTGTCTTCTTTCCTTTTTTTTTAACATTCTTTGGGGGGTCTGCCACCTAAGATTTCCTGCTTCATATTTTCCCATTGATTTTTTCTTTACTTAAATAAAATAGCTTAATTGAGAAATAGCTTTACTTAAATAAAATAGCTTTATAAAATTTATGCTTTTAAAGTATGCAATTCACCACTTTTAGTGTATTTAGAGTTTATGCAAACACCACCACTATCTGATTCCAGAATTCTATGTCCCCTAGCAGTTACTTCCTATCCTCCTTCCTCTTGGCCCCTGGAAATCTCTAATCCACTTTCTGTCTCTGTGAACTTGCCAATGCTGCATATTTCATATAAGAGAAATTGTAGAATATGTGGCCTTTTATGCCTGGCTTCTTTCACCAGCATGCTTTCCAGGTACGTTCATTTATACTGTAGCATGACCAGCACTGCACTCTCTTCTCTGATGAAATAATATTCCACTGTTTGGTCACGTCACACTTTGTTTATTCATTGGCTGTAGAGTTTATTCATTGGCTAGTATGAAGAATCATGCTATGGACATTTGTGTACAAGTTTTTGTATGGATATGTTTTCAGTCCTCTGGGTATATTCCTAAGAGTGGATCTGCTGGATGATAATGCTAACTCTATGTTTACTTTTTGAAGAACTGTGAGGCTATTTCCCAAAGTGGCTGCATTATTTTATATTCTCATTAGGAATGTATGAAAGTTTTGATTCTTTTCTTGTCCTCCAACTATTCAACTTTCTTTTTTGGCTGTAGAATTTACAACTGAACATATCACTTCAGGAATGAGTTAGGTTAAAAAAGAGTGAACCACTTCATGGTTTCTACATGCTAAAAGTTTATGATGCCTTCAAAGAGCCTTTGCTGCTACATCTAAAGAAAAACACAGATACTGATCTGTGGTCATCTTGTGGTATATTAAGTCACCTGAGTATTTTGGGTGCCTAAGTAACACATATTTCCTTAACCTACCAATTATAAAGTTTTCTTTTTTCTTCAAATGTACCATGCCATGTATCTCCTTGCTAATTTTTTTTTCTTATTTCATTGGGAGTTTAACCAAAACCACTCAGGTATTTCTTGAGCACCTGCTTTGAGCCTGGCATTTCTAGCAATGGAGAGAAAAAAAAAGCACGGGGTTGGTTTCTGTGCTTCAGTACCTTTCTACCTTGGTGGAGAGCTAAGGAATGAAAGAAGATATGTGCCTGAGTCATTGTCCAAAGGATGAATATGGACCTATGGCTGTTACACCATCGGAATCATCGGGGAGCTATATATACATCTCCACACACTAATTTTTATTACACAAGTTGTACGTGGTCATGGTGAAAATACACAAGCAATATGGAAAATTATAAAGTAAATAGCAATAATCAAAATTGTGTTTCCTTAGGTCACTCCTCAGTTTCTCCTGGAGGGCTTATTGAAAACGTAGATGACTACAGCATGCCATCCCTAGAGGTGGATCCTGTTAGAGTTAGGGCAGTGAACACAGGCTTTAGGAGACAGCCTACGGGACAAATGGATGTAAGCCGAAACAGCCAAGGGAATGCCTCAGGAAACAATGGCTCAGATCCATAGTGCATAAGTTTAAGTGCTTGGTGTAAAGCTTTATGCAATATAAGTCATCATTACGAAAGAAATCTTGTCTTGAGCTAGGAGATGGAGGTATTTTAGATATGTGCGAAGGAAGAGAGGAAGTAAAACCAAAGAATAAGGAGAAGGAGGTGTAGGCGTTGGGGCTTTTAGCCAGGAGAGCAGCCTAGCTGGAGAACGTGGTTGGAGGGGCTGCCGGAGCTCACATGGGAAGGACAAAGGTGGAGCTGAACATTGGAGGGTCCTAAAAAGCAAAACCAAGCACAGGAGTCACTGTAGCTTCAGGAGGAAGACGATGCCTTGCAGAGTGGTTGTTGGTTTCAGTTCCCACCCTTCCTCAGGGCAGCAGTAGAGTCTGCGTCTATAACGGGAACAGACTGAAATAGCCACCTGCACTCTGTGAGGCCTTTGAGCACAGGCCTGCCAGTAAGTGCCACAGAGCCTCCCAGAGCCTGCTCTTTCTTTCCTCCCTCCATCCCCCACCCCCACTCTATTTTTGTGTTTCCTTCTCAGGTTACTGCTCCTTGTTCCACCTCCCCTCACTGGGTCTCCCTCTCCCCTGCTCCCTTGTCCAGAACAAGAGTACCATAACAAGTGATAAAAAGCTTTGGGCTATTCAGACTAAATTGATCCCTCCTGTGAGAAGTGCTAGCTCTCAGTTCTAATTATTCAGGGCTCCTTGGGGTGAACAGCATATTCCCCAAAAGGTCACATAAGCCCTCTCTGTCCTGGCTTTCTGGCTACAGGAGTTACAGTGCAGCATTTTGCCTGCCTTACAAGATATTTATAACGAGTGCAGCTGCCCTCTACCGTGTACATCTGCATCCCAAGATGAAAAATTACTTTCCCAAGGTCACTCTAGAAGAGAGCAGCCTTCTGATTGAGAATAATGTGGCAAATTCATTCTCAGTCTGAGTTCTGACTGGTTTATGCCCCCAAAAGACCCCCAAGTTCTAGATCAATATTGTTCCCTCCAAGAATCCTTTTTTAAATGTCTTAAATACTGAGGAAAGTAAGTCTGATATGGGGTGTGAGGGGATTAACTTGACTCCTGCTGTTAAACTAATGAACATTCCAAGGCAGATCATTCTTTTACTATTTTTAAGGGTTGAAGCTGAAACAAAATAAGCAACAGTTTTAGGAGGCAGAAGTTAGAGCAGATGCTTATATACACAGGAAAAAATGTATTCAAATTCCTCTTTTTATTGAGTTCACCACATAGTCTTTTACTGTAATACTGACACTTTTACAAGTATATTGATAAAATTGATGAGAAATTTTCATTGTCCACCACCCATCATTAAAAAAACACCTTGTAGTTTCAAAAGGATGTCAACTTTCAAAATTGATGTGTAAAACATATTAAAACACAATTATTTAAAAATATATATTTTAAGCCCAAAGTATTAAGTTCTGAGATGTGATTTGTGACATCTGAGATGCGTGTCTCCTGAGACAAATTGTGCAAGAGAGGCCTCTCCACTTTGATTCATTAGAGTTGTCAGGTATGGACGCGACCTCTGGAACTAGGGCCCAAGCCACTGTGTGTGCACGTGCCACCTGGGACCAGACTGGCCCCTGGCAGAAGAGGGTACTGTTTTGAGATGCAAAGGAAGGACCCTCTAAACTTTGTATCTCTTCTTTCTTAAAAAGAATAAATTAAACAATTTTCAGATAGATTTCAAACAATTTTCAGAAGGCCTTCCTCACCATCCTACAGGGCCCAACACGTCAGCCAGTCCAGAGCCCTTTCTTTTTTTGTTTTTATTGTTGTTCAAGTACAGTTGTCTCCATTTCCTACCCCCTCCCTCACTACTCCCCAGAGCCCTCTCTAAGGTCATGTTTTTAAGAATAGGATTGCCTTTCTTAAAAAAATATTTTATTATCATTCTATTACAGTTGTCCCCATTTTTCCCCTTTGCCCTCCTCTGCCCAGCCCACGCCTGCTCCCACGGTCCATCCCCATGCTGTTGTTCGTGTCCATGGGCCCTTCACACGTGCTCCTTGACCAGTCCCTTCCCCTTGTTTCCTCCCTGCTGGATTCAACACCGAGTGAAAATTTCATTTCCAGTTTCCTGACATAGCTGTATGCACGTCTTGTTCCAAAGCACTACAAGACACTCTCATATCCCTTCATCCTAACTGATGGAGCCTTTCCCTGGATGCTAATTGATGTTTCTATGCTTTAGCATAAGAGATTCCTTTTAAAACATCTGTCAAAGGGATTTCCACCCTTATTTTCTCCTTAGCCCTTTTACCTATCTGTTACCAAATTTATGGAGTTTTCAAGCAGGTAACTCTTCCTGGATTCTTTGGAGTTTGAAAAGCTGCAAAGAAACATTGCTGTTATCTATGTCAAACCCACACTTTACACAGTAAAAAGTAGAGAAGCAAAGAGATCTAACGGCCTGTCCACAGTCACGTTTCCACTTCTGGTTATAGTTGCATCACCTCCCATGTGTGGTGTGCAGATGACTCTGAACAGAATGAGCCATTAGTAAGTCCAGGAAGAAAAATGTACATTTGCTAACAACAGGATAATTGTTTGTAAATAATCTCTTTTCTCATTTGCTTTTTTGAGGGGGAAACAAATGTGTTTTGCTTCTTTAAAAGGCTCCTATGAGCAATGTATTTTCTCTTAGGATATTTCCAAGCTTCAGTTTAAGCACCTGCATAACAAGAAGTATTTCCAGGTAAATTATAAATAATTCTTTAGCAAAGATTGTGTTCCTCAAAACCCAGTAGAATCAGTTTAGAATAAGTTTTCAGGCTTTCTTTATTCCCAAATGGACCTTTGAGCTGTCTTTTTTTTTGTTCATTTGTTTTTTGGGTTTTTTTTTTAACTGAAGAGGCCCAACAAAGGAGATTACAAGATGAATGAAGTTCATAAAGGTTTCGGATGAGGCTCTGTCTCTGGTTTATCAGAGTTGTTTGGACACTCTTGGGACATAGATAGAGCATCAGAAATTATACAATAAAGCACTTCAAGTTTGAA